TTCGGTCGCCGGCCAAGTTGTACACAGTGAAATACAAGTATCAGATATTTCAATATAATTTTCTTGATATAAGACAACGATACCTAGTAAGTTCAATATTTAAATATTAATATTTAAAACAAATGAGTATTTTGAAGATAATTTTTATCACAAGAATGTAATTGAATCATTGTGATCTATCAATGACATGGCAATAGAATTTTAGCGCTGTAGTCATGAAAGATATATGTATGTTACTGATTGGGCGGCAACAAATCTTATCATTTTATTTTCATTTCAACTTCAAGATCAGATGGAAAAAGGAAAAAGGTTTAATTTCATTTGATTTTAATTATTGTGTTTCTCTCTCATCGAAATTTACCCAAAATCTTCTTTAAACGATTTTGTTTTTCTCGGTGTTCCAAGCAGGTCAGTGTTAGTTAAAAAAAGTATTAACAAAAATACCGAACTCCTACGTAAATTTTAAGAACTGGACAAAACCAAAATGCCCGACCATATCAACCAACGCAACGAATTGGGAAACAATTGTCATATTCCGGACTTAGTACAGGCATTTTTTGAAGAAAATAGGAAGTTAATCCTGGTTTTATAGATTGCTAAACCTCCTATGTTTATGAAAATTGTTAACAGTTTGACATATTGACAAAATTGTATGAGCAACAGTAAGATTAAGATTTATGAAGATGTAATAAAAAAAGATGCAATGTAGAAAGATGATATGATTTTGTGTAAAATGTAACCATGGTAACATAGTTTGCTGATTTCATTTAACCAAATTCATATGAAAATGGCTATGTCTAGTCAAATATGTAATAATGATAGTCACTATGACTCTTGAAGGGTACGTAGATCCTGCTCAACATAACCAAGGCAGTATCCGATCAATGTTATTAACTTTTATATTACCAAAATCTTCAGTGAATACGAGTTGTAGTAATGGAAACAACCAAATACAATTTTTTTTCGACGACCTGAGTATTCCCGTTCACTTATAAGTCACTTTATAACGAATTCATCTCGCTGGTGACTTCTTTTTGACCATGACAAGTTGCAAGCTTTTACACCACTACTTTTCATATAGACGTGAACGTTGGCAAAGTTTAGGTTGTTTGTTAACGTAACTTCCCATCTAGCGTGTCTTTAAATTGTTTAAACCATAGGATCCTGTTTGTTTTATTTCACATTTCCTTATGACGCACATGGCATTGCTAAATGTCATATATATTGTAGTTTTTATAACTAGAAAAAGCGAAGTTTTTGTGGAATGTGAGATAATGGTTACCATTTAAGGGGCTACGAAACCAACATGTGTATGTTGAAAACTCATAAACGGAAGACAAATAAAATATTAAACAAAATTCTCTTAGTTATACAAATTCACAATCGAACATGTGAAAAATCAGGATGTAAACTTTTAATAAAAAACATATTTGTAATTGTTGTATATAGAATAAGATACATAGAGGAACGTGACAAGTTTCAGGAGCTAGAAATTAAGCAGAAATGTAATTGCAGCTACTGGCAGAAGAGACGCCTCCAATCGAGCTCTAGAAACTGCTTAAAACACATGAAAGAATAATATAGTAATATACTACGCAATATAAGTATTCAAAATTTTTGAAGGGAACCAGAACCATGACCAGTCTAAAGAACATGGACATTGACATAAACAGAGGTTCGTCTGACCAAAGCGAACATGGTCATAACAATGTTTCATTCAGGTCCGGACACGGGTTAAGTCCACTAGAACCAAGCACGAAGGAAGAATGCAAAAGCAGAAACTGTTTGAGCAAATATTGCTTTCGCCGAAAAAAAACCAAGCAGTGACCCTTTAGCTGGAAGATATACTGGAAGAACAAACCCTGTATAGAAAGCTAAGGAATATGGCTGTGCAGTTCAAGAAAAGGCCAAGCTAAAGGCCGCTTTTAATCTTCTCGAATCACAAAAAGAAGCAGCAGAGGCCGGAGGCCGTATACTAGAGTATAACGACAGCCAATGGCTGATCGATTTCTTGTAAATTCATTACTGTTCAGACATTTTGGCTTGCACCCAATCCAGTTCAGTAGCTTTGAGACAATTCAGTATGTTGTTGTAAAATAAGGTAAATAACAACTAATGAACGGTATGAGCCAAATCAAAAGATCAATTCAAAGGACTGTTAAAAAAACAACGTTTGATATACTATAATAAGAACGGCGAGTCCATTACACACAAAAGTCGTGATTGCAACGCACGCACCAGCTGTAAGGACTGTGGGAGTAAACAGCACACCTTAGCGAACAAGAGTGAAATCACCTTCAAGTTTCCTGTCCAACTCTCGCGGGACAGCTAACGGCGGAGGGCTGACGTACCTTAATTAATCCAAATAGCATAGATATCTACAAGGATCTTTGTAGCTGGAAATCTTGTACAGAAATACTACCTGTGAATGTCTATCACCAGAACAGTCGGAACAAAGCTATCCGAATGTACACCATCATTGACGACCTGTGCAACCGATCTCTTTTCTCACCTATATTAATCAGTCTATTTGACAATCATGTGAACACAGTAATCACTTCCGGAAAAAGAGAAAGAAGTTTCATCGCCCATGAATCAGTAGATGACAGCATTAAATTTAATTTCCTTGTATTGGTAGACTGTCATATCATTCCCCATAATCAGGATACAATTCTTATAGCTAAAGTTACATTGCATTATCCTCATCTAAATAAAAGAGAAAGCATTCTGCCAATTGAGGAACATGGCCAAATGTTACTCTTAATTAGGAGAGACCTTATGAAGAAACACCACGTCCTTGTAAAATGACTAGGACCACCCAGAGATCAATATTGAAAATGGGTTGGGTAGTTATAAGACAGACGTACACCAGTAAGGAAAATGTTCCTTTCAAAGTTAGCGTAACAATAACAAACATCTTGCTTACCGAACCGAAACAAATGTATACCTCAAAATATATAGAAACTAGCGAGAACCAAAAATCAACACGTTGATCCAGTTGACGACCGAGCAATCCATTAAAATGTCAATGTTGCGAAAACATGTCGTATACCCGAGTGTAGCGTTATCGGAAATGATGGATCTCAGTGATCATGACCGCCTTTCTGCGAGCGATTGTCTTGTTGGGACATTTCTTGGGTTCATACGGATCAAGAAAGGCAAAATCAGTTACTTCTGAAGAGAGTTTTTCGAACATCAACAATATCTTTCTAAAGTCTGCAATACCCAAAGAATACGAATGAGAAATAGTTACATTTGACGACAGGAGCCAACTCCAAAGCGATGGCCGATAGTTATTCTACATCCGTTTTTGACCAACGAGGACTACTACGGGAATTAGACGGTATCGTCAAATCTGACTTGAGTCATTAAGAACTAAAAGACAAATTGAAAGAGTTGGTATTACTTTGTTTCATTAAACGAATGGCGAACGTAGATACAAGTATCTTGTCTTGGGGAGGGATAAATCCTACTTTGTAAAGAATCACTCTGATTCAAACAAAAAATTCTCTGAAACTGACATTATCAAGATGCTTGATTTCTTGATTGACAACATGTTTGTTACGTTTGGAGGACGTGTTTTTAACAAACTGTCGGTATTCCAATGGGAACCAATTGTGCCCTCTTCTTGCCGACTTGTTTCTTTATTATTATGAGGCTGACTTCATACAGGAACTTCTTAGGAAGAAAGATAAGAAGTTAGCAATATCCTTTAACTTTACGTTCCGCTGTATAGATGATGTTCTCTCACTAAATAATACAAAATTTGGTGACTATGTTGAACGAATCTATCCCATCGAACTAGAGATAAAGGATACAACAGATACAGTTAAGTCTGCCTCATATCTTGACTTACATCAAAAATTGACAATGAGGGTCGGTTGAAAACAAAACTTTACGACAAAAGAGATGATTTCATCTTCCCAATTGTGAATTTTCCGCCTGCATACAGAGTATATATCTCCCAATTGATACGATATTCCCGGGCTTGTATTTCCTATCATGATTTCCTTGATAGAGGATTGCTGCTCACAAGGAAGCTATTAAACCAAGAGTTCAAAATGGTGAAGTTGAAATCATCCCTTCGTAAATTTTACGGACGCCATCACGAGTTGGTTGACCGTTATGGAATAACCGTTTAACAGATGATATCGGATATGTTCCTTATGTCGTAACTACAATACCCTTCCCTTTTCACGAATGTGACCTACCGAATTAAGACTATTTACCGGATTTGTAATAACATAAGCAACACGACGGGTGCCACATGTGGAGCAGGATCTGCTTACCCTTCCGGAGCACCTGAGATCACCCCCAGTTTTTGGTGGGGTTCGTGTTGCTTAGTCTTTAGTTTTCTATGTTGTGTCATCTGTACTATTATTTGTCTGTTTGTCTTTTTTTTTTGGCCATGGCGTTGTCAGTTTGTTTTCGATCTATGAGTTTGACTGTCTCTCTGGTATCTTTCGTCCCTCTTTTAAGAAAAGAAACAGACGCTAGCATATAACAGCAACATTATCATTCTGACACTATCACTATCAATGTTATCACATCAGAGATGAAGTAATTATATCTTTAGGATTATGGATCGTTGGAAAGAAACGAATCTTGTCTATTTTTCACGGATGTGTGACATGCTGCAAGGTTTCAACTCCCTAAGGCAAAGTTGACTTTAAATTGATTTGTCTTCAACTGTTGCAGTTCTTATACATCCTGGCTTTCAAATATTTGGATTTGAGCCTTCCGGATGAAAATCAATCCAGAAAAGCATTTCGGACGAAACATTTTATAAAGTGTTGTCTTCATTTTTTACTATTGTCGAACACGGTAACATACTGCTGTGTGAGGGGATGTTTAAGGAAAGTATTTCAACAAGTTCAAATTTGTTAAAGTGGAATATGTTATATATAAACAATGTTCCCCTAAAATCTACATTTTGCTCTGATTTTTTACATATGCTTATATGAGCTGACAATATTTGTTGGGTAAGAACAAGAATGAGAAACTAATGTACATTTAATTCTATTATAGTTTAAGTACATTATTCATACATTTAGATTTTCGCCATTTTAATTGTTACTTAAAAATGAATTGCAACACAAATAAGTATTATTCATTCAAATATAAATACGTTGTATACATTCATCTTCATAATGTTTGTATTTTATAATTATATGACATGCAAATGACATCAATTACGTTTTAACGATACCCAAACAGAACTTTTCATGAGATTTATAAATTAGAGAGGAATCATATAATGGAATATTATTCTAAGAATATGTTTTGCTTTATTTGCATTTATCACACTAATATAATAATCTGCATCTAGCAAAGAATGCCAACATAATGTCAAATTTTAAGGTTAAAACAATTTGATAAAAACTGAAATAATGGATTTCGACCAATAATGTTTTAAACATCATTAGTGGCTGTAAAATCATTGTTGTAACGGTGGTTACATGTTAGTGTATTTGCGTGAGCATTAAAAGATTGATTCCCATATTTGCATTCGACGAAAAGCATGCGTTCTAGAATTTATTTTTTTCATTTATTGTCAAAACAATTTAACTAAAACTTAAAGAAATAACAATCAATAAAAATACTTTGACGCCAAAAAAAATGACCTTGATATTGTTAAAATTTCATTTGAAAGTGATAGAAACATGAAATATGCTTTTAAATAATTTCAAGTTCAAAACAGACAATCTTCCTAGAAATGTGCTGCCTTTGCCACAACTGATCTAAGTTCATAGCAGGGCTATATCCTTGGAAAAAAGGCCAAATGTGGACTACTTTTGTATGTTGTTTACAATGGTTTCAATTAAATTATCCGTCCTCATTGAATTGGTGTAAAAATATTGTTTATTCTATGGTTGTAACAGTGACGAAAACAAAAATAACATTGAAACTATAATAATGCATATTTCTTAGCCCGTCTCTTCATAGCCAGTAGAAATGAAGATAAAAAACTTAAATAATTTTAATTGAAGTTGTGAATGATTTCATCATCTTTCACTTATAGCTTACGAAGGATAAAAAAACCAATGTCATTTAAGCTGTTCAGATCAACAATTTTAAGATGGTACATAAAACAAGATATGTTATCCAACGTTCTTGTGATCAAGCTGTTTTTCATTACAAAACATTGAATAGCTCTAGCTTACTTGTATATAATATCAATTTCAGGCGAAACTTGCTGATTAAGCCAAGCAAACTTTTAAAAGACTAATCTGAAAAATTGATCGCATACGCGCTTTAGAAAAGATCGATTTGCTTCATTAAAGTTTAAATCGGTATAAAGTTTTCATCTTTTTATTATCCTTAAACAGAAAGATCAATTATGTTTTTCATTTAGTACGAATAATGAACCATATAGCAGTAAAATAAGTCGATTTTAAAACCATGAATGTATTGGTTGTGTCGAGCGCGTATCGTTTTAACGGACATTATATTAAGAGTGCGTTCAATGAATGAACGAATGAATGAATGAATGAATGAATGAATGAATGAACGAACGAATGAATGATTGAATAACAAAAACATACTATGGCAAAAATTTCTTGTCCAAAAGGTCAAGTATTTGTACAACATTAGAAAGAGTATATTCAGCGAGGGAAAATTAAGGATATTTATTCAAGTTTCTGAAAGGTAGCCCGTGATCACTTTGACATCAGATCACCAGTTATAGGGACTGATTTGGGCCGTTAGAAAACTACCTGTAACCTTTATTCATCTCAACTCTCCATTTTCCGCTACTTACGTTCATTTGAACAGGTGTTATGTAACTGTGTTATCTAATTATGTGCACCTAGAATTGGGGGAGTATCAATACGACTCCGATTACTCGCATTAACAAGCTTTACCCCCAAACATTACATGCCTGCCTATTGCATCTAATTCGCTCAAATTATTTCAAGTTATCTTAGCGTCGTCGAAAATGGAGGACTGAAAGGAATAATTGATTCGTTAGTGCTACAGAGGATAGTCTGAATCAAAGATAAACAATCGTTCAGAAAGATTTAATGGGGAAACAAATGATGTATGGTTTATCTGCCGCTTGACAATAGATATATATTGATTTCGAGACAAAAACTTGCCATCCTAAGTCTGGGTCGTCAGACGTAAGAGCGATCTCGGACAGGGCATTTATATCTGGTTGACTTACTTAATTACTTGTCAAATATTTCACAGTACACATTGATATTTTAGGAGGGGATTATGATTCCATAATTGTCATTCTCTTATTGCTTTACATATTATTGCATAACTTTTGAAAGGCATAATATCGGTATACCCCTCAATTCTTCAATATAGGTTAATTCAAATTGTTTGATTAATGCTGTGTTTTTATCCAACAACCATATTATATATGATCAGACACAAATAAAAATATATCTAATTAAATTTAACCAAATTTTGACCGATATTTTTCATATTCAGTTTTATCTACTTCCTGAATGGTTTATTCCGTGAACAGATGTAATACGTCATGGTTAAATGTGATAGCTTGCCAATTGTACATAATATTTGTTTATAAAATAATAACATTGACAATTAATAAATAATAAATGAAAAATGAAAATACTACCTTTTCTTAATTTACACATTAAATATTCATCTACTAATACGATAAATGCTTTTAAGTTTTCGATCGTACAATGTATTCATTCTATTGTATACATGGTAACATAAAAATGTACATGTTTTAAAGATTTTCTAAAATCTTTGATTTTTAAGTATTGCAGTAGTTACAATATTACCGTTGATATTAAGGCATCAACTTTGGTTAGTTACAATTATCACATTGAAATAACAGCAGCGCCATCAACACCGATAAAATTTAGATTCAAGCATTCTTGGGTGATCTATAAAGATTCTTTGGTAATATGCACTGTCTGAAACGGACTTCAAGGAAAGACTGTACATCCGAATGCATTCATCCTGATAAAAGGAAGCATGTAATTTGTCAGGAAATCCCATTCGCTGATTCTGCTCCTTTTGTTAAATTTTCCAGTATAAACTTGATAGTAATTCTGTAGATGCCATCCATATTGTCTGTATATCTGTCACTTAGTGTGATTTTAACTGCATCTAAAAACGGCTTCTCTATAAACTGAAAAGGTAAAAAGAGACATCGATAAACAGCGTTTGATTCAAAATACTAAAATTGTATAGATTTAACTTTATAATATTCATTGAAAAATAGGAAATTAATGTACGAAAGCTTAGGCCATATTCGAAATTTCAACGTCCATATATATATTGGCTACGTTTCGGGAAAACCTCTTCCAACAGTTCTCATCGCGACAATGGACGTTAAAATAGATAGGTCCTGCCTAAGATTGTAATTGGTGGGTTAAACAACGATTTACTGCTAGACCTTTCATTTGAATGACAGTCAATTCCAGTGGTTTGGTTTCAATGCTCTCTAAGCATTTTATGTTTGGCTTACCAAACGTTTGGTGTCGAGGTTTTTCAAGAATATTAGTTCATTTGAATTTTACATCTTTAGAAACAAATATAAATCAGATTTTTTTAATTTAGTTGTCTGTTTTGCAGTGTATATTTATCAATGTATTATACGAACTCCGACAATTAATTTTAGAATTTTTGAACTCTCATTTGTGAATACCTGCTAGCCTTCATAAAATATGATAGTTAATATAGAGCATGTCGCTTGAAAGCGCTGTCTGCTGAAATGGATGTTTGTGCAACACTTTTACAACATTCAAAACTACAAAAAACAGGCTCACAATTGAAGCAAGAAGATGAATTGCGTTGCAATTGTTTTTTTTTTTAAATTGATTTGTGAGACAATGTTTTACTTTTGAGATATTTAACGTTCTTAAGTACAGTCAGTTCATTATCGGTCTTTTGTGGCTACCCAAATTTACAATTAACATTCACATTATTAAATTTTCAAATATTTACAAATCTTGAACAAACCCAATTATTTTTTCCTATTCCAGTGATGTATTTTTTAAACAGGCTAACAAACTCAAATGTATTTCTTTTAGAAAAGATCTCTGAGAAATGTAAAGAGAAAACATTGTCTAAGCCGACGTAGAAATGATTCACGCTAATTACGTTTAGATAAAAGTGCTGTTAAAAGTAAAATCACAAAAATACTGAACTCCGAGGAAAATTCAATCGGAAAGTCCCTAATCACATGGCAAAATCAAATGACAAAACACAATTAAATTATTTTTCATTGTAAAAGTTGAAGCCTCAAATAAACTCAATAGTTCGTTATGATCAATTGTTTTATAAGATGGCTATAACAAGTGCCAATTAGATATGCACCGGACTTTTAGAAACCTTGTTCGAAACAATATCAATTACCAATACAAAAATCGATTAACTAAGAATCAGTTATAAATTTTCTTTCTTTATTTGACAATAGTTCTACAATTGATTACAATACACATTGTCGATGTGAAATAAATAAATAATTTATATGTAAGAAATCACTTTTTCCTTCAATCCTGTATGATTCAGCAATAACAGTCAATAATTTTCGCAAATAAATATATATATATAAGGTGTATATGTTTTGCAATGGAAGGATATATTTAAACAAATATTTTGCAGAGAAAAATACATATGATAGAGACGTCTATGTGTTATTAAAAAATTACAGGAACTTCGCCTTCTTTTTTACGGTAAAATTGCTTGTGAGATGAACATGAAATTTTAAATTATTAGTTATGTTTAGTGAATACAGTACTAAATAAAAAAGCAGAACTGGAAAATTAGCTTATTCTTTTAAGAATTTAAAACAGAACCTTATTTTTTACAAGAATCATTCGTACAAGTCGAAATTTTACATGCTTGAGGAAAGAATTATTTATTGAAAAATATAATATAAATAAATTGTGTTTAAAAATATAAGCTTTTTGCACAATACATCCATTAAAGCTTTTTAGGTTAAGTAATCCGTCAGCACACAATACACAATCGGTATTTGTCTTCACTGTTCCAATGATAATGACACCCGTCGTATTACATTGTACTATAATCTGTTGGGGCATCATATAATAAACAATCGGTATATGTCATCACTGCTTCAAAAATGGCATCCGTCGTATTACTCCTATTACCTGTTGAGGTATCACACAATACGAAATCGGTAAATATTTGCACTGCTCTAATATTCTGTTGAGGCAGCACAAAATACACAATCGGTATATGTTATCACTGCTTCAGTAACGACACCCATCATATAACTCCTATAATCTGTTGATGCATCATGCACTACACAATCGGTAAATATCTTCACTGCTCCAATAATGGCACCCGTCAAGTAACTCCTACAATCTGCTAAGGCATCACATGATACACAATCGGTATATGTCTTTACTGCTTCAATAATGGCACCCGTCGTATTACAGTGTACTCCTTTAATCTGTTGAGACATAACATAATACATAATCGGTATGTTTTCACTGTTTCAATAATGGCACCCGTCGTATTACAGTGTAGTCCTTTAATCTGTTGAGGCATCACATAATACATAATCGGTATATGTTTTCACTGCTTCAATAATGACACACGTCATAGAACTCCTACAATTCGTTGAGACATCACCAAATACAAAATCGGTATATGTCTTCACTGCTCCAATAACGACACCCATCATATTACTCCAATAATCTGTTGACGCATCACGCACTACAAAATCAGTTTATGTCTTCACTGCTTCAATAATGGCACCCGTCGACTTACTCCTATAATCTGTTGAGGTTTCAAACAATACGCAATCAGTAAATATTTGCACTACTCTAATATTCTGGTGAGGCATCACAAAATATCAAATTGGTAATCGTATTTGTCGTGTCTACAAGCATTTACAAGTTAATCACATTTTGGCCATGATTTTGAAGTTAAATACGATTCAAACTCTTTTAATGGTCAAGTTTTTGACGATATTTGGATTAGATCTCTACAGTGAATAGACGTTTAAGTTGTCCGAGTTTTGACTTTTTATTTATTAAAATTGATCGAATTAAAGGACTCCAATACAAATTAAATTTCTGATCCTGGTTAGGACCGCTTGCTTATATTAAATACTAGTAACCAACATAAGTCTGATTAAGTAATTCATGGGGTCAAAATGTATGTATAATACTTTTAAACGTTACTTGATTATTTTTTAAGTAATTTTCTTCGAACTTTAAAAATTATTTCTGCCAAATTTATCATGTCTTTTTCCACTCCCTATATTTGGCATTTGTAAAAAGTTCTTCTAGTTTACTGGTATCCTTGTGTGGACGAAACGCGCGTCTTAAATTTTAAACCTGGTACCTTTTGTTAGCTATTATTCGTATGTTTCTCTGTTCTATATGTTCTCCCATTTATTTGTATTGTAGTCCTGTCATGTAATGTTGTCGTTCTAATGTTATATTTAACATTGCCATAAAAGCGGGAGGTTTGGCTAGCCACAAAACCAGGTTCAACCCACCATTGTTTTCTTAAAATGTCCTGTACCAAGTCAGGAAAATGGCGACTTTTATATTCTAGTTCGTTTCTGTGTGTGTTACATTTTAATGTTGTGTTTCTGTTGTGTCGTAGTTCTTTTATACTTGATGTGTTTCCCTCAGGTTTAGTTTGTAACCCGGATTTGTTTTTTTCTCAACCAATTTATGAATTTCGAACAGCGGTATACTACTGTTGTCTTTATTTACAAACTCATCTGGCATCTGTGGTTCTGTTGTTGTGAAGGAAACACAAAAAGAAGCATTTTGTTCTTAGTTTTGTAGTAATTGACCATTTCTAAATTCTCAGAATATTTTATTTAAATTTCCCCCGAAGAAAGTTTAACTTTACTAATGGCGGCGATTAGTGTAGTAGACTGTAACGCAATACAGCTATTAAAGATCATTCGGTATATTTTTCTTTCAATTTGCAAATAGATCTATTTTCAGAGAATATAGAATCCTGAAATATGCCTTTAATATTAACCACGTGTATTAAGTATGAGAAAAAACACAACTGTTTTAATAAAAAAAAATCGACTCTTCAAACAACGATAACGGACTGTGTATAGTAACAACCAAGAACAACAACTCGCTGAAAAAAATCATTAATAATTCTTTCAACTTAATTCTATCATTTTTATGAGTTAAATAATCTACCACTTGTTATATGCAACCAAATTGAGTATCTCAAAGGCTTTATCTTTACAGAACTTACTTCATTCTTTGATCGATTTGTTTGACAAGTAGGATATTTGTAGTCATGGGAAGATGCATTACAGATAATTGTACTAAATTGATGAACCTCGACAAAGCCATCATAATCAATACGCATGAGGCGTATAAAATGCAAAAAAATGACTATGAAAATGTCTAAATCTAAGACGATAGATGTCTATTACTTGGCTGATTATGCCTATTTGATAAATTTATTTTGAGAAATAACAAGAAGCAAACTATTATGATATTGATGTTGAAACTTGAAATGTGGAAGACAAAGTTAATAGGGGCAAACTAAAATGATCATCTGCAAGCAAGAAAATACGCAATGCACGAAACAAACATGTAGTGTTATACTGTTCATATGACGAATTCTATAGAGATTTAAAACAACAACTATATACATAATTATATGTCAAAAGAAACTGGCAGTAGCTATACTTTTACACACAAAAAAAATACGAAATCTACGATTACAAAGTTCAAATCGGCTTAAATGTTTTGATAAATCCTTATACATGTATAGTAATTAAAACAGTAACCAATATATCAAAACCGTTTAAGGTCGACTTTGCATTTAAATCATCTATTAATGAAAATATACAATCAAAATTTATCACAAAAAAGGTCAGTTACCCAAGCCCTCACGACTGCATACCAAACAAGATATTTAGAGAGAAAATCGTATTTATTTTTATGTGATTCTTATGCGTTGGGAAGAGTCATTTTATTTGGAATTTTCGGATTGATGAAAATTTAAAACGCCTTCAAAGCTCCGTTTTGTAAACAGATCAAATTACAAAAACAATTTCACGATGTTATGAATAGCAACAATCCGTATGAACTTTATTAAAAAAATTAATGAATACATAGAATCTCCTGGATAATCACTTTATGTTTAGTATGTATGTTTCTTTAT